ACCCCAATCTTATCTAAAGGAATATTGACAACTGATTACCACTAGATGAAGGACAGCTGACCTTCCTAACAAAGACCTCTAGATAGGCTGACTAGTTTCACCAGAAGGGCAAGTAGTGGGGAATGGCTGGGGAGCCGACAACACAGCAGACAGTAGCAGGGATATCAGAGTATAAGGGCTCTAGTAGTGGGAGGGAGGGTATGGGAGGGTGCTATCTGGGAAGTGGGTGTTAAAAAAAAAAATAATAAGGCCGGGTGTGGTGGTGCACGCCTTTAATTCTACCACTTGAGAGGCAGAGGCAGGCAGATTTCTGTGAGCTTGAGGCCAGCCTGGTCTCCATAGTGAATCCAGGCCAGCTAGGGCTACAGGGAGACCCTGTGTCAGAAAAACAAAAACAACAACAAAAAAGAATCAACTCACAGAAATTGTCTGTGATCTACCACCTTACGCTGGGACATGAATGCTTATGAGTATGCACACACATACACAAATAAAATGATAAAAAGTTTAGCTGGGCATGGTGGCATATGCCTTTAATCCCAGCACTTAGGAGGCAGAGGCAGGCAGATTGCTGTAAGATTGAAGCCGGCCTGGCCTACATAGCGAGTTCCAGGCCTGCTGAGGCTATTGGGAGATCCTGTCTCAAAAAGATCAAAAAATTTTTTTGTAAAAGAAATTAATAAACAACTAATGCTGCAGGGTGTAGTGACATACTCCTTTAATCAATCCCAGCACTCAGAAGGCTGAGGCAGGCAGATCTCTGTGAGTTCAAGGCCAGCCTGGTCTACAAAGTGAGTTCCAGGCCAGTTGAGACTTCAGGGAGATCTAAAAAATTAAAAAAAAAAATAAAAAAGGCACTGGAGCAGTGGCTCAACAGTTAAGAGGACTTGTTGCTCTTCCAGAGGTCCTGAGTTCAGTTCCCATCAGGCAACTCATAACCATCTGTAATGCCGCCATCATGATACCCTTTTGTGGCCTCTTCAGGTACTTGCTACACACATGCATAGACACACACACAGGTACACATACATCAAAATAAAATAATGGATGTGGCTTTGTTTGTTGAGTGCTTGCCTAGCATGCATTAATCCCTGAATTCTAACAACACACATACAAATTAAATAAACAAAAATATTCATGAGAGAAAAGGAATCAGAGCCTGGGTAATAGTATAGGTTTGTGGTTGAAGTGGAAGAGAATTTTGTTATCTTGTATATAGTTCTCTTTTTATAAAATGAGCCATCTTGTATAGAATTCTTTAGTAAAATGAACAAAGACTGACATTTGCTTTCATTGTGTTTTCCATTACATGTTATTAGAGATTTGTACTATGAGTCACTCCAAAAGAGTAGCCATGTTTTCCTTTCAGAATGTGTTGGAAGTGACTGTACGGTGGAAGCGGGGTCTGGAGTGGTGCTCCTCCAGTGAGACTGCTTCCTTCTCAGACTCCCCATGTATCCTGCAGACTCTTCTGGTTTCAGCTTCTGACAATGCATCCTGCTTAGCACATCTGCTCATTCAGGTGGAGATTTATGCCAACACGTCTCTGACCCACAGTGCATCAGGCAAGTAACATCTGACTGTCAAAATATGCCCAGCAATCACTATTTGATGAGTGTATGCTGAGCAGTATGTGCAGTGTGCTAGACGTGACTCTGCACTTTCTAACATACACTATTTCTTGGTTAGTTTTTTGTTTTTATTTACTTATTTTTATGTGTATGAGTATTTTTATGCTTGTCTACATCTGTATATGTACACCATGTGCATGCCTTGTATCTGAGGAAGCCAGAAGCAGGTGTGGGATCTGCTAGAACTGGAGTTACAGGTAGTTATGAGCTGACAGGTGGGTCCTGGGTAGTGAACTCAGGTCCTCTGGAAGAGCAGCAATTGTTCTTAACCATGGAGCCATCTCTCTAGCCCCTTGGTTAGTTTTTTATTTTCAAAGGTTTTGTTTGTACTGTTTTATTAAGGTTTATCTTGCTCATACCTAGCAGGGGAGACACCATGATCAGGAAGGTGATTTTCCCAGGGTGAGGCTTGTCCATTGCACTTAGGATGTGCTGACCCCTGCAATTTCCCCAAATTTGGGAAACCCAACTGCATAATTTGTGGCAGTGGGGGACTGTGTTCTTGTTCTCCCCTTTAAAAAAAAAAGATTTATCTTGCTCTACTGATATAATTTTTGCAGACCACTTTAAGTCCTTTAGGGGAGAAGGTGAAATTTTTTTCTATACATTGATGCCCATGGCTCCATCTTGAGAGAAAAATAAATGAATAAAAAGAAATGGAGGGACTGTGGTTGTAGTCACCTAATAGAGTGCCTGCTGCTGTAGCATACATGAATCTTTGGGTTCAGTTCCCAGCAATACACAAAACTGGGCATGATAGTGCTCTCCTATAATCCCAGGGCAGGGAGCTGGAGGCAGGAGGATGAGGAAGTTCAAGGTCATTTATGGCTACATAATGAGTTTAGGCTGGCCTGAGCTACATGAGACCCTATCGCAAAAAAAAAAAAAAAAAAAAAAGATAGTGGGGGGTTGCTATGTGAGTGCTACAACTATGCCTCTGTTCCTTGTAGCAGACTCCAGCATTTCTTGCTTGTGTAGCTCAGGCTGGCCTTGAATCCCCAAATCAGCCTCCTGAGTGCTGGAATTATGGGTGTGTGCCATCATGCCCTTGTCTCAGTTGGTGTTTTGAGACAGAGTCTGATGCAGCCCAGGCTGGCTTCAAACTTACTCTGTAACAGAAGCTGTCCTTTAATTTCTGATCTTCCTGTCTTTACCTTCTAAGTGCCATCATGCACAGCTGTAAAAAATGTTTTTTAAGATTTATTTTTATTTTTAAAATAATTTTTAAAATTAATAATTTTAGTAATTTATTTTATTACATGTTTATGAGTATAATGCTTGCATATATATAGGTAGGTGTACCCTTGTCATGCAGTTCCTGCAGAGGTCAGAAGAGGGTGTTGGATCTCCTGGAACTGGAGTTACAAATGGCTGTTAGCTGCCATGTACATGGTGGGAATTGAACCTGGGTCCTCTTCAAGAGCAGTCAGTGCTCTTAGCCACTGAGTCATCTCTCCAGGCCTAGATTAATTTTTATTTTATGTGTGTGAGTGTTTTTCCTTCATGTGTGCATGTCCACCATGTGCATGCAGTGCCCAACAAAGCCAGAAGAGGGCATCAGATACCCTGGAACTAGAGTTACTGCCAGTGGTAAGCCACTATGTAGGTGCTGGGAACCAAACCCAAGTCCTCTGCAAGAGCAGCCAGTGCACTTAACAGCTGATTCATATCTCACCCCCCCATTGAAATTTTTAAAAAATTAAAAAAATTCTTAGCCACGTGCGGTGGCACACGCCTGTAGTTCCAGCACTTGGGAGGCGGAGGCAGGCGGATCTCTGTGAGTTCAAGGCCAGCCTGGTCTACATAGTGAGTTCCAGGACAGCTGGGGCTACAGGGCGACCCTGCTTCAAAAAGACCCCCCCACCAAAAAAAAGTTCTTATTTTTATTTTATGTGCATGAGTGTTTTGCCTACATGTATGTAAGTGTATCAGTTGTGCAATGCCCACAGAGGCCAGAGAGGGCTTCTGATCCCTGGAACTGGAAGTTATAGACAGTTGTTCACTTCCATGTGGGTGCTGGGAATCAAACCTGTGTCCTGTGCATGAACAGCCACTGCTTTTAGCTGCTGAGCCATTTCTCTAGCATTTCAAACTTTAAAAAAAAAATTTTTTTATCCATTGGGGAAACATGAAGCCAGAAAGGCCACGCCCCCAGAGAGTGCACCCGCTGCTGGCAGGCCTTGTGCTGCGCCGAGTGAGTCGGGGTCGGAAGGACTGCAGGTTGAGAGAGATCCAGCTGAGGAATCTCAAAATGAACAGACTCAAACCTAGATACTATGACCGCTACCTCAAATACCAGAAAGCAGCTGCACCCCCAATGGGAACCTCCGTGCACCCCAAAACCCTGCCCCCTGGGGCTTCATTACTCGTACTGGGTGGACAAGCACCTTGCCATGCAAGAATATTTCAAGATGGAATCCCACCCTGACTGCGAAGCTCTCAAGGCCCTGGCCACCAGACTGGACCTGGAGGAGGAGCAAGTTGAGATTTGGTTCCCCATTTACAATGAGAAGTATGAGCAGCAGAGAATCCAACAGCACACCCCCACCTGGATTGCCCTCGTGTTCTACCAATGCCACAACACCCAGTGCTGCAAATCAAAAGGTTGCCAGATCAGCCATAAGCACAGCTGTGAAATCTGTGACCCAGAACACCCGAAAAAATGGGGTGACCATGATGTAGAGCTGGAAGCCCCATTCTCCCCAGAGTCCTCCTAGCTACCCATGACTGAGGAGGCCTTTGAGAGATTGTCGGTCTCTTCCACACCTGAGGACTGAGATGGAGAGGAGTACCAAGGTGAAGATGAGGATGAAGATGGAGATGAGGACCAAGATGAAGATAAAGTATCAAGATGGAGTTGAAGACCAAGATGGAGACGAGGACCAAGATGGAGGTGAAGACCAAGATGAAGATGGCATGGAGAAAGCGTAGCAGACCAGGAACCAGGGACCCCAGGTTCTGAATCTATGGAGCTCTTCCTTTAGACCCTTTGGGAATGAATTCTTGCCCAACCCCCTTTTTTCTGGGAGGACACCTGAGTAAGCCCAGGGTAGCCGTCAAACTTAATATGTAGCAGAGCATGACCTTGAATTCTTCAGATCCTCTAGAGAGCTGGGATTATTGGCGTTGCCTACTTGACAGCATTTTTTTTTTTTTTTTTTTTTTTTTTTTTTTTTGTTTGCTGAAACAGGGTCTTACCCTGTAGCTCAGGGTGATCTGGAACTTGGCATGTACCCTCTATCTCTGCATAGGTGGTGCTAGTGGTGAGATTTCTTTACCATTCATTTTGTGCCTATAGCATGTTGGTTTTGGGTGGGGTTTTTAATTATTTCTTTTGGTTTGGTTGGGGTTTTTTTAGCTGATTTTCATGCCCCACTTTTTCCTATTACTGCTTCTAGATCATTGAATAACAGATTGATAATAAAATTATTAGTAGGCTTAAAAAATTTTTTATTATTTTTATTTTATGTGTATGGGTGTTATGCCTGCATGTAACGTAAGTGCAGCCATGTTGTGCAGTGCTGGTGGAGGACAGAAGAGACTGTTGGATCTCCTAGAACTGGAGTTACAGACAGTTGTTAGCTGCCATGTGGGTGCTGGGAATTGAACCTGGGTCTTCTGCAAGAACAGTCTGTGTTCTTAACCGCTGAGCCATCTCTCCAGCTCTCAAACATTTTTTAAAATTAAAAAAAATTTATTTATTGTTTCTTTATTTATGTGTATGTGTGTATTGCCTACAGGTAGGTAAGTGCACCCATGTTGTGCAGTGCCCACACAGGTCAGAAGAGGCTGTTGGATCCCCTGGAACTGGAGTTACAGACAGTTGTTAGCTGCCGTGTGGGTGCTGGGATTCGAACTGAGGTCTTCTATAAGAACAATCAGTGCTCTTAACTGCTGAGCCATCTCGCCAGCCCCCAAACTTTATTTTATTATTATTATTATTATTATTATTATTATTATTATTATTATTGGTCTTTTTTGAGACAGGTCTCCCTGTAGCCGCAGCTGGCCTGGATTTGTTATGTTGACAAGACTGGCCTCAAACTCACAGGGATCTGTCTGCCTCTGCCTCCCTAGTGCTGAGATTAAAGGCATGTGCTACCATGCCCTCAAACATTTTTTAATGGAAGAAAAAAATGGCTGCAGGATGTCTTCATGGGAGCCATGGTTCAGAAAAGTAGTTTTAAAATATTACCTGTAGCTCTAGCTCCTGGGGCTCCATTGTCTGTTGGCCTCCACTGGTACCTGCACTCATGTGAACATACCTATATACAGATACAACTCATGAGCATATACCTACACACAGACACACACTCTCTCTCTCTCACACACACACACACACACACACACACACAATTAAAAATAAATCTTTAACCAGATGTGGTGGTGCATACCTTTAATCTCAGCAGAGACTGGGAGGCAGAGGCCAGCCTGTCTACATGGAAAATTTTAGGCCAGCTGGGGCTACATAGTAATACCCTGTCTCAAAAAAAAAAAAAAAAACAAGCAAACAAATCTTCAAAATATTTTCCTTGGAAAAATACACTTGAGTGTATTTAGGAGATGTTTTGGAATTATGAATAGACTAGAAATTTAGAGTCTTGCATGTTGGTAACTGTGAGATCTTCACTCTGACCCCATGAAGGTATGACAAAACTTGTACCCAGTGAGACAGAGATCCAAACAAGGAACAGGATGGAAGGACAGACAGGAGGTATGTGATGAACCAGCAACATTGATGCCGGCAAACAGTGTAGGTAGACATGCCACCATTGGTCTGCGTAGCACATCGTAAAACCCTGACCTCAAATGCTTCCCTGTGTCACATGGGCATGGCCCCTTGTGCTCAGACCCTTATGCTCCAAGCCTGGCCTGTTTTGTGGCTGGTCTCACTCCCCACACCATTGGCCTATGGCTTGTACTATGTGCTTCATAGTCTGTAAGGAGCTTGCTCAGTAGATGCTTCAACTTGGAGTCCTTAGTGGTAACTGTTGCTACACATGGTCTTACCAACTTTTCTGTCATGTATCAGATCCTAGGAGAAAAGTAAAATTCAGCAAACTGAAAGTATTAATTTTCTCATTTATCTGGTAAGTAAATTGTTTTATCTGATAAGAGAGTATGGAGAACCTCGAAGCATGGCCTCTCTGGAATCCGAGTTGAGAGGCAATCATGTCTTGTAAAACTTCTAGAAAGCTGTAATGGTACAAAGTGTTTACAAGCACCCAGCCACCTTGGTGGGTTGTTGTTATTGTTTTTAATGTTTTATTTGTTATTACTTTTATGTGTATGAGTCTATTACCTGCATGGGTGTAAATGCACTTGTGTTGTGCAGTGCCTGCAGAGGTCAGAAAAGGGTGTTGGATCCCCTGGAACTGGAATTACAGACTGTTGTTAGCTGCCATGAGGGTTCTGGGACTTGAATCCTGATACTCTCCAAGAGCAGCCAGTGCGTTTAACCTCTGAGCCATCTCTCCAGTGCCCTTACCTGCTGAACAATCTTACTGGCCTCTGATGCTGTTTTTTTATTATTTTTTCTTTTTTTGGTCTTTTTGAGACAGGGTCTCCCTGTAGTCCAAGCTGGCCTGGAACTCACTATGTAGACCTGGCTGGCCTTGAACTCACAGAGATCTGCTTGCCTCTGCCTCCTCAGTGCTGGGATTAAAGGCGTGCGCCACCATGCTTGATGCTGCTGTTGGTTTTAAGGCTCATCCTGAGATGTAAAGATGTGACAAAATATACAGTTAGGCGGCTGAAGAGATGGCTCAGTGGTTAAGAGCACTGGCTGCTCTTGCAGAGGACGTGGATTCAATTCCCAGCACCTACATGGCAGTTGATAACCATAACTCTAATTCCAGGGGATCTGACACCCTTTTCTGACCTCTGAGGGCATTGCAAGACACTGGTGCACTTACATACGTGCAGGCATAACACTCTTACACATGGAATAAAAATAAACAAGCTGGGCGTGGTGGCACACGCCTTTAATCCCAGCACTTGGGAGGCAGAGGCAGGCAGATCTCTGTGAATTCAAGGCCAGCCTGGTCTACACAGTAAGTTCCAGGACAGCTGGGGCTACAGGGAGACCCTGTCTCAAAAAGACCAACCCCCCCCCCCCCCCCCCCAAAAAAACTAATATGTTATTTCCTTTAAAAAATTAAACAAGACAAAATAAGGTAGAAAGCGATAGAGGAAAATACCTGATGTCAGCCTCTGGTCTCCATATCTCCATATGCATGTATACATATACAC